CCTTCTGCCGGCGCTGTCAGAGGTCCCAGGGTCTCTTAGCGGCAGCAGCTCCAGAGCGAGCCATGTCCAGGCTGTGCAGGGTCCCATGCTGGGCGCCCTTCTTCCCCTGAAGGTTCTTTGGCTGGTCTAATAATTCAATTGACATAAGACGGATTAACGGGAGAAAAACACATTGAATTTCATACATTTGGGAGTCCATAAAAATATGAGATTCTGAGAAGACACCAAAGCAGGCAGCTTTTAATATCTTTTAGTAGACAAGGAAACAATCAATTTGTGATGAATTGACAAAACAAAGGATCTAGACTGGGGGGTAGCACATTAGCGAAGAAGTAACAAGATTTGTTGATACAGCCTTTGGGATCTTGAATTCCATACTCTGGTGATAAGGATGCCTTCTACACCTCTAGTATGGGGAGGGTAACTTCATGTCAGAGATTTATTTCTGCTTTAAGGGGATGAAAGAGGATCAGAATGTCCTTCTTGCACTGGCTGTTTCTTAAGTAACGCTAATTCAAAATAATCGACACTCCAAAGCGGCACATTTCGGGGTGTCATTCTGTCTCCATCATCACTATCAGTGACCCACTGGGGAAGTTTGTGCTCCTTGTCCCCATACCTCTGGGCTCTAAAGAGTTGGAGGCTCTGGTCTCCAGATGGGACACTTTCTTGCCAAGGGACACAGCCAAGATGCATTGAACTCCATATAACTGCAGGTTACAGCTGCTGCCAGGGCACTGTGGATTCCTTCTGCCAAGGAACCAGCAGGTTAGAAGACGAGTCACCATACGGGCAGGGGTAATTGACCCTGATCAGTAGGAGGAGGTAGTGCTGCGTGAAACAATGGGGGCAGAGAGGGAGGCAGGAATGTGTTTGGATCCCACATGATCCACGCAGGCCACCTTTTGGTACCTCCTTGCCCCATTGTGTCTGCTCATGAACCTGGGCAGCAACCACAGCCTGAGAAGGACCTGATTACCAAGAGAGCAGACCCCATGGGAGTGAAGGTTTGCGTCACGCCACCAAGTAAGCCACTGATTCCTGCTAAGCTGAGGGCTGGTGTTCATTTAGAATGGACGATGGAGGAAGAGGAGGAGATCCAGTTGTGGTCCTGGGATCAAATACAGCACCAGAGGCAATACTTAACCCCACTAATCTCCCTTTTCTGAGTTCTTCTCTCAGGAAGAAAGGCTTGTGGTGTCCATGGGGAGGGTGCTCCTCCAATTTAAGTGGAGATGGAGACTTGTGCAAGCAGGAGCCTATGGTCACCGTAAAGATGTGTCTCTCAGATGTCCCACTGCAGGGAGCATGTGGACCCCAGACCAGCTGCCGTGCTCTGAAATCTAGCATCACGTTTGCACTGAGGTTGGGCTCTCCGTAGGCTGCTCCCAGCCAATGACTTACTGTGACAGGTTTACTAAGCAGGCTGGGACCTGAAAGATGCTGGCCTCCTCTGAAGGGGGACTTTGGCTCAAGGACTCCCCACAGGCCTAGCTGAAACTTTGTTAGAACTATGCTGATGTCTAAGAAATAACTTGCTTACTCCCTCCACCCCTAGTTTCCTCTTTTTTCTCCTTCACATAGAACTGCATCACAGTCTGATGGCTCCTCCGCCAGGTCCTTCTCCATTTTCCTTCACTGGCATTTCCTCTAATAAATCTTTTGCACATATAATCCCATCTTGGTATTTACTTCTTGGAAGGCCCAGAGAGATGGCTGTGGGCGTCTGTGGCCGAATGGCAGCTAAGCCAATCTTGCCTGCTAAGTCTAGTCAACTGGTAGTGGCTGCCAAGAGTGGTGAACTGAGAAAGATTCTAGGGCTGTTTGTGGTCCCTTGTAAAGATGCCATGGTCTATTGGCAAGGTCTGCCATGAGGGTAAGGGAGGAGCGTCTTGACTTTTCATTAGTAGCTACTTCTGAATTGGGATGTTCCCAAATCTCTTTCAAGAACAGTCATGGTCAGAGGGATATTGTATGTGAAATTTTGTTAATGATGAATGATATTCATGATAGTGAGTGATTAATGACATCATTAATAATAATGATATAATGGTTACATGATATAATGATGCAATAATATATAATGACTACAGAATATTATATGAATAATGAGAATGCTTAATGATGAATGATAATTATAAAATGGGGCCTCAAGTGATACTGTGTGTTTCATTATATTATATAAGCAATAATATTTTCACACTAAGATTCAAAGTATGAGGATTTGCTAGTGATCTCCATCTCTGACTTGGGGTGACTGCTCTGGTGAGCTCTTTCCTTGGCAGGTTTGTATCATGGAACCCATCATAACATGGAGCTTTTCATTGATATTACTCATTTTCTCTCTATCTGATTTTATACTTGCCAAGAAACATTTTGTTATTAGGTTTTATAAGTAGCTTTTCCTACTAGAAAGCGAATTGCTAACCAGTATTCTGTTATTCTAATCTATCTAGCATTTATTTCTTTCCTTTCAAGAATAATTTTTAAAATTATAAAAAATAATATAAGATTATTATTAAAGAGTTTTAAAAGTACAAAAGCTAAATTTGAAGTCCACCTCTTATACAGTTTCCTTTCAATCCCACTGCATAGGAGTAACACTCTTTTTTGTTGTAAATTAATTGTTTTCTCCATTGGGTAGCTGACGCTCAAGGTGTTTTCTTTACGACTTTGTTTAAAAGGAATCTCTTGTGTATTTACCCAGAATGAACTAACAAAACTGAGTTTTTAAACACACAAAACTGAGGATCAACCCTTTCACTGAGAGTCCTTCTTATCTTCACGAGCCAATCTTTTATTAAATTTTTTACGCTGGCAAACATTACGCTTCACAAAAAGCCTAAGCTTTAGTTACCACTCACAGTGGAATATGAGAGATCATTTTCGGAGAACATATGTAGTGCTGTGCTGACTGTATTTTAAAGTTTATTCAGTCTTATGAACTATGACTCATTTGTTTTTGCGTTAAAGTATATTACTTTTTGGTTATTTTCTAGAATAATAACTTTTCACTTCCCCAAGGATACAATGGGGGGATGGGGAGTAAGAAAAGTGACTTTAAGTGTGAACTCACCTTAAGTAGTATGCACCTACCTGAATAGTTCTGAAAAGAACGCGTGAAGACAAATCTGACATAACTTAGGTTGTATATAGATTGGCGCTTTTTTAAAAAAAGGAATGTCAATATTATTACCATTGGCCATTTTCAAACTCAAAGCAATTCCTTATGAGAAAAACTAGTTCCCTAAGATGAATAAGGTTAAGCTTTTAGTGTACATGAAATTTAGCTCAAAAAATGTTCCTCAGTGGAAACCACCTAGACCTTTACTGAAAGTGTTTTCACTTAAGAATTTACAAATGACACTTGAACTTGAGATCTCCAAGAGAAATTATTGTTTAAGAAACAGAAAAAGCAACTTACCAAAATCAGGCTGATTAGACTATAAAGGCAAATATAATTTTGTACCTTTGAAAAAACTTCAATGCTGGTTTCACTCAGTGAGGAAGAGGCGACATTATTTTCATAAACACACAAACTTACAAAGTGTAGTCATTGTATTGCTTTCTAGTTATAAAAGGCAGATAACTTTTAAAAATAATTTCATACTAAAAAATGATAAAATTTTTGTGACAATAATTGTTTAAGGGGGACAAACTATGGTGAACCATAATTTACAAATCTGGTGGACCATGGGGATAAAAATTAGACATCATTCCATGTAGATTAAAAAGATTTTTTTTCTAAAAGCAGTTTATTCTCTTGCCCTTTCACAAAATTAGAAATAACTTTCTTTCGATTAACAGGCAAAATATTGCTACAGAAATAAAGATACTCTAAAACTTTCATAGATTACCTAATTTTTCTCTCTTTTTGATTAACAAAAACTTGGAATTATTTTGTAGCATATTTATTAATTGCCAGTTTTCACAAGATGGAATCCTGTAAAGGTAGTTACAAAAATATATAATAGGAATATCTTTGGGGAGAGGTTGTGATTTAGTAAATGCTGCACTTGTTCAAGACAGTCATGGAGATGCAAACCCAGTGTTCACAAGGGCTCTGTTCTCCAAACTTCATTTTCTGATGTTAGAAGTTAGACACAATTTAATAACTATTTGAGGCAAAACTACTGTAGCTTACACTCTTTATAGGATAAAGAGCCATCGGAGTGTGGGGATATCATTTCAGTCGTGAACCCATTCGATTAGATTAATAGGTTTGATCACCTTCTTTTTGAGATCAATGATGGTTGCTTGAGGAGATTTATAGATTAATCTTGATCTTCTCTTTTTAAATTTAAGGTTACCCATGGCTTAGGAAAAATACCGAAGTCAGTGTGCAAATTTGCACCCTGTCTTCATACTGAGTTTATCTCTGGTTTAGAAGAAACAGCCCTCTGCCCCCATGAAGACAGAGGAGCAACTTCATTTGTCCTAATGCTGTGATTCTTAATGCAAATGCAACATTAAAAATCCAGTGAAACCACTGCATGGGGTTATCTATTATGCCATTCTGGCACGTGATATCAGCTTGTTCTAGAAAGTTCCAATTTGATGTTTTGTCCTTATTTTCATAGATGCGTAGAGAGAGACTTTAAATATCAGCATATAGGAATGGCCTTTTCAATGTCATTTGCGTTGCAGTAAAAGTCGTGAAGGCATACTTGCTTCCATGCAAATGTTATCTCATGAACCAGATGACAGCAAATAGATGATAAAACTTTATTAATAAAGTATTAAAATAGGCACTCAGGAAGTTTTTGTTCTTCTCAACTGACATTTCCAGATCTGTTAGGTCTAGTTGTTATAGATCTGATCTAAACTTGACTTTAGAAGAGGGGCCAAATGGATTAAATTCCTAAAGATACCATAAATTTGGGGGCACAAATTAAAAAAAAAACAAAATAAACACATTTGGTAAGACTGACTTTTGGTTGACATGAGGGCCCAGAAGTACTAACCTGCTTTCTGAAAAAATAATTGAGAATACAAACTAATCACACATAATAAACCAGTTTATTAGATTGTCAGTGATACTTTGAGACAAATTCAAGTTATTTTATTGTACTTCATATAAACAGAGGAAGGGAGGAAAGTTTTAAACTTCAAGCTTTGTTCAGCATGTGTGCAGTTAGCATCCACAAAAGCACCATTGGATATGGAAGAATTAGCACCACAGAATTTTAGGACCTAACTGTTAACATGCATCACTGAAAAATTTGGAACATGGAAACTGAAGTAGTACGTGGTATGGTCTATTATAAACAATACAAGGCAATTTATGACTTGTTTTCATACAGTACAATACAATCACCAATCAATGAGAAACTTTTAAGTACAATACAGGACAAAAAACACTTTGTACCCTGTTAACACTAAAGCAGTTACAGATTTAAAAACAGGTTTCTTGTAAGAGGCAGCGGGTTGAAATGTTCCCTCCTCCTCAATTTTTAAATTCAGAGTTATAGAGTTACATGATCTCTTAAGAAAGCATTTTCAAAGCTATGTCTCTCTACCTCAATGCTGACAATTTTTTTTTGAAAACGACAGGCTTGATGAATTAAAAACAAAAACAAAAACAAAAACAAAACAAAAAACCTGACAGAGTCAAGAAGTACTCCAGTGTGGTGGAAGGTATTCCACTTAAGTTTGAAAATGATGCCAATGGTGTTGACACTTTCTCTTCCCTTCCGTGGAGGAATGTCAAGTACAGAAGCCTCGAATTCACGATGAACTTGGGTTCATTTCTTTCACCGAATGCCTTTATTCTGAAGTGTAACATAAGAGTTATTCCTCAACTGTTTTTGTGGTGTCATAGGGCTGTTCCTTATGCTGGATTTGACAACAGTGAAAGGGTTGGTATTCTCTCTGGATTTAGGGTAATTTGTGAGCTAAAGAAAAAATATTAATTTAAATTTAGCATATATGACATTTTAAAGGGAATTTCACTATTTTCACAGTACAAACCCATAATGAATATCATTGAAAACCTTTCTGTTAGAAAGCATGTAACAAACCCTCAATTTTAAGTCGTGTCTAGGCCAATTTTGGCATATTTGAAGATACTGTATAAAAACTGTGCAGTAGGAGTAGATACAGGTATATTCAGATCTCAATGCATTGATGCCAAGGAAAAAATATTTTTACTTGCCAAGAGAAGAATATACCTTGAAGTATCTATGCAGACACATGAATCAATCATACATCTGCCCAACTTCTAATTCTGGAATAGTGATAACAGGGTCATTTAAGAAAAAGTACTCAATTACAGTATGGCAGCAATTTTTATGTTGTATATATTTAACAGCAAAAACATTTTTGAAAATAGAATCGGTATTATACGGTAAGTTTACAATTCACCATTTCTATACTTGTAATACATGCGTTTATTTGTTTTCCCAGTTTTTAAAAATCCCACTAGGACCAACATCTTTTAGAACAACAATCTAACATTAAAGAAAAACCTTCTAAGGAAAATATTTAGCATCACAGAGATTTGAGAAAAGTCTGTTACTCAGCATCACAAAATACTCAATAGATCTACATTTAAGATTGTTCATGCCAGGACATTAACACACCTTTGGGCTAATATATCTTATTTAAAAAAAGGAAACAAAGAAATAAACCAAAGAATTGACATGGAATTTATCTTTAGTCTCTCCTTGGTAAGAGCAGACGTCTAGTAAACTTGACTTCTTTCTGTATCATGTAATGATGTCAGCATCTACGAAGCAGCGTTTACATTCGGTAAAACATTTAAGATTAGTGATAGGAAAATGGCTGCTAGAAAGGATTAAAAAGAAGTAAAATTATAGAAAAATGGTTCTTTTCTTAGGTGAACTGCCCCCAAACAAAAAAGAAAGCCAAGTTTGTTTGCTTTGAAATATTCTTCCGTTGAAACACGTTTTTGGATACAAGTTAGCCTATCCTCATAAAGGTCAGAAAGATGTAAGGGTTAACTTGAGAAAAAATTTATCTTTTGAAAAAAATTATCCTATGCTTTTTCTGCTGAGCCAAATCCATTGTCTAAACCAACTACTGATTTTCTGAAGAGGAAACAGCTCTGCACAGCAGCACATCCACATAACTGATTTAAATCTGATAATTTGCCAGGCAAGGCTGGCGTGAGCATCGAAGAAGCAACACTGATTTCTTAAAGTTTTGGGGTTACATTAAGACTCAACTAAGCCAAAATCGAGTAATGACATGCTGGCTTAATAGTTCTGATTGCTCTTATCTTTTGATCAACACTTGAAAACAAGGCAGTATCAATTAAAACTAAGATTTAAAAAATAAAAGCTGTTTAAAAATTGTTCAATGAAAAAGCCTTCAAATTTTACAACATTTTAACCTTAAATGATTGTAGACTAACTTAGACTAACGGTTTTGCCATGATCACACACTTCTGTTACGCTTGAGTTTTTTTTTTCTATATTGTTCATTGGTTATATTATGTAATGCAATTTTCTGTTCAGTTAAAATAGTTTAAATTTTTACATTTTATTATAAGAAGCTTTAGAAAAACACATAAGTAGGATAAATTTACAAAAGGATAAAGAATAGTTTATGGTATTTTAGACAAGTTCTATACAGACAAATAGCTAGTTCAAGGTAATAAAGTGCCTTCATTTCCAGGTAATTAATTTTTCACTAAAATATTTTAAGGCTTTATAAGAAACTTATTGTTATCAGAACTTTGATAGTATATGGGGTTATGCTATTAATTACCATTCTTTTGTAGTCCTTATTTAATTTAATCTTTTGATCCATTGTAGGTAACTTTTAATAATTAGTAGCTTAAAATGATAAAATTCAACTTGCGAATTCACCTTGTGAGGAAAGGGAAAGATGTATAATTTATAAATGCTGTGATTTGTACATAAGACTCACATTTGCTTGTGAATAATCTAGTTTTGTCATAATATACAACAGCCAATGCCTGCCCACCCCAATTCAACAGAATATTTAATCCATGGAAAACAGGCCATCATTTCATTCATTCATATAGTCTATTGTTTTTACATTTAAAATGATCGTGCAGCCTTAAATGAAAAGGGCCACAGAAAAATCTAAGATAAAGTCTTCAAATACAGGCACAATTAATATTTTTATTGCAATAGTTTATGCATAATCTGTATTGATGCCAACACCTAATGTTAAAACATTTATATTTGCTTTTATTTTGCTTCTAATACTCATGGATGTATCACAGTAAAATACTGTAACCTAATAGAAGTATATATAATAGTCTTAATCACATAGAATTCTATTTCTTTTTCTCATTTATTTTGGAGGATATGGGGGTGTTTAAGCACAGCTGTGTACTTAAAATCTGGCAGCTCCAGGGTTTAAGATAAATGATGACTATATGGACATCAACTACTCAATTGGTTATAATCAATGAAAACCAATGAAAATGTTTAAATATTCTTTTTAAGGAATTCATTTTTATCAGGAAATTACTGAAGTCAGGCACCAGATTAAATTGCCATAATATCTAAAATGCTTTTGTAATTGCCACTGGATTAATTTAAAACATTCCTTAAATTAAAGGCTTTGGAGATTAGGATGGAGAAGGAAAAGCACAACTCACTGCAAAGAATGGTTTAAGTTAAATATTCTATATATAATTAGAAAAACAGGAACTACCAGTAGGAAAAAAGTGCTAGTCTTAAAATTGGGTTTGGTTTTGAATCTAAAGCCTGGTAAGAATTATTCCTGTTAATTGAAAAACAATTAAAATGGCATAAACTTTTATCATTGCACATTCCTTTACCAAAGTGCCACAAGTTACCCCCATTTTTTTAAATGTACACGATGCTACTTTTCAAAATCGAAGTATATAAAGTTTTACCTTTTTTTTTCAATAGTATAATACAGTTTCACAAACTTAGCACAAATCTCAGCAGGAAGATGAATGATAACTTTCTAAAAACAGTGTAGTGTCTTAAAAAAATAACTATTAAGAACCTTTGTCGTTATGAAGATTCAAATCCAAGTATAGTTAAAGCATTCCCATAAAATCTGAAAACATCATGAAAGTTGATTTAGGCAAATTTTAGGAACACCCTGCCATGCAATGCACAGACATCATATGCTTTTTTAAAAAACAGTTAACCTGTGTTTATCTGACTACATTATATACTTACTCTCTTCAGTCACTGAAGTAACAATATATGTAATAACCGAGTTTTGAAGACAGTATTAAACACTAAGGTTTCTAGCCTTAATTGTTTGTTCGTATTAAGCACAGCAAAATGTTTGATGCATGGGTTATTGATTCTCATGCTTCTATCTTTTTATTCTAAGTAGAAATGCTAAGTGGAAATGGATAGAGGTACTATAATGAAGGCAAAAGGACATTAGTGACCAAAGCATCAACATATGGAATAAATAATATAATAAGCAACTGTGGCAGAAGTTCTCCATATTATTAAATTTGGTAAATCAGGGGAAGACAATAAAAAAAAAATCCCCTTACCATGTAATAATCATATGACTTTATATTTAAAAATAAGTGGCATGCACGTCAGGTTACATTTTTAATAGTTTTGTTGTTTGAGTGTGATGAAGTTAAACTAGGGAGTCACCTCATTATAAACGGAGACCAAAGCAAACAAAACATTTTACTGTTCAGACAGAGAAAGTAAAACCATGATTCTCAATGATAGCTCACCTGTCTTTTGTTATGCCTCAGGCTAAACACTGTGCTGTAGTGTCTCATTTAATTAGGGTGAAAAATGCTGGTGAAAATATAAAAGAAGTAATGTTAAAATCAGGATTAGTTCCTAGTCATGGAACATTAAATGACTATCAAAAAAGGACCTTTTTTTCTACAGTTTGAGAATCTCTATCTTGGGTGTAAAAATGACTACATAAAAGCAGATGAAAGAAATGCCCAATTTTATAAATTCTTCTGAGGCTGTAGAATGGGATAGGAATTAATATCCTGGCCCTCTGACAGAAGTAGCAAACTTTGAACACATAGAAGTAAAATCAGGAAGGATCAAGCCTGATAAATCACTGATGACAACTCCCCCCAAACTCAACATGCGACGGGTGAGTCACAGAAAGGCTCAATATCCACCTATATAATTTAAAGAAACTTCCTGTAGTTTCTGAGTATGAGAATTTAATCTCTTGCTGGTAAGCTATATATAGTTTTGGATAGTGGTAACATTAAAAATTTTAGAGTAATACTTCAAATAAACATTGAAATGCAAATAGTCTTATTAGAAGCTGTAGATGTGTGGAAACTCCATACGAAATGTGATTTTCCAACTATATTTAGCTCACGTAATACCCCAAATAATATGATTTCACAATTTCTCTTGCTAATACACACAGATTTTTTTTCCCTTGATTTTGCAAAAGTTGGGGGGTTCTATTTACCTCATTTAGCTTTTCCTTGATAGCAGTCCTACAGTGATGACATATGTACTGATTATTCCTACCAGAACCAGTCCGACCATATCATTCAATTCTGTTTTCTATTTTTCAGCTCTTTTACAGCACTTTCCATTTCCAAATGCCCCATACTTTGTTATAATAGTCATTTCTCATTGTATGCCTCTGAGGAGGGCAAAGGTAACATGGCTCGAGCTGTGGTAGGACAACACACGTCCCACTGTGACCGTCTCCCACCTGAAGGCAGTAATCCCGTGTGGCCCTATGCTCTGTATCCCCGGGGCCAAAGATTGGCTCGTGTCTGCTGTATAGCCATACCTAGCAGAGTGTCTAGTTCATGCTGTATGCAAAATAAATGCTTGTTCATGTAACGAAGGAGAAATGAGATTGAACAAACAGAGCAAAGACCCTCCACATACTGCCCCCCCACGCCCCCATCCCGCAGCTAAAAGCTGTGCTTGCCCACTCTTGCATCTCTACTACA